TGATGTTTTGGAAATGGAGTTTCCGCCATTAAAATGCCCTAGACAGAGCTCTGGGAGCTACTATCTCACCAGGTTTTGACCTAGCGGAGCTAACCAATGGAGCTGGGCAAGCTCCGTTGGCCAGCTCTGCTGGGTGGCGGACCCAAGTGACGGTCTCCCTTGAAATCCGTCACTTTAGGCCGTGACTTGGCGTAGGCATGTGGCGGGGCCTCTCAAGCTCCGTCACCTAGCCCCGCCAGGTCATTGGTTTGGTGCAGGGTCTTTGAGGCTTAGCCCAACCTAGGGTTCGTTACGATCCGTGACTTGTGGGTTCGTGAGGCTCGTGTGACTCGGGATTGTGATGACCCATTTGTTTGAAATATGCCTATGTGTTATGTGATTAAAAAATCCTTTTCCAAATCAAGTATCAAAAATGATTTCTAAGTGTTTTCAAGTATATGGGAGTTTATGTCTTTCGAAGTTTTTGTTTGATGTCTTTCAAAATTTTTGTGTTGAAATTAAAACTCAATTTAATAAGACTATACAGTGTTTAAGAAGTGATAATGCTCAAGAATATTTCAAGTCATTTTCCAGCTTTGTGAGTCAAAATGGTATCATACATCAAACTTCCTGTGGTTACATCCCCCAATAGAATGGTGTAGTAGAAAGAAAGAACCGCCATTTGTTGGAGATTACTCATGCCCCTTTGTTCCAGATGAAAGTACCTAAAGTATTTTGGGCAAATGTTGTTCACACTGCTTGCTTCTTCATTAACAAGATGCCTTCTTTTGTACTCCATAATCAAATCCCGTATTCAGTTGTGTATCTCTCCAATTAGCCTTTGTTTTTCCTATCCCCTAAGATTTTTGGTTGTGCGTGCTTTATACGTGATGTTTGTCCACTAAGGGGAAAGCTTGATCCTAAATCACTTAAGTGTATCTTCCTAAGGTATTCTTAGACTCAGAAGGGCATTAGTGTTACTGATAAGTGCCAAAGATGTTATGTTTTATAGGGTAATTTAGAGGCTAATTATCCTATAATTGGAGTGCTTTATGCCTAATTCATGCTTAATTAGCTTAATTTGATAGAAATTAGGATTAAGGACTAATTCTATTGCATTGGTAGAAAAATAGCAAAACATTGTCATTTTCAGAGTATTCCAGCGACAGTTCGGTAAAATGATAATATCTTGAGCTAGGCGTGTCCAAATGAGGTGATTCAAGTGACTAAGGTTCGGGCTTTTTAAGGTCTACAACTTTCATTTTGGGCAAAAATTCCAGAAAGTTCCACGCAGCTCACAACGTGCGTTGCGAAGTGCGTGGACGGGACACTTAAATGAAATTTCATATTTTTAGCCTATTTAAAGGCTTGTAAGGGGATCCTTTAGGAGACTTCTTCTTTTCCCATTCCTTTACTCTCATATTCAGCTCTCTTAGATTAGGGTAGATTCGGGTTAGGTTAGATTTACATTTCCATTGAAGATCTACACTCATTGTTCTACAAATTCTCCTTGGATGCTTACACAATAGATTGAAGACTTGGGTAACCACTCTTCCTTATTTATTATTTCAGATTTAATTTGTGTTTACTACCCTTTTAATGATGATGATGATGAGTGCTTAGACTGCTTGGATTTGATTTGTTGATTATGTATTCATGCTTAGTATGGTTGATATGATGAGATTTGATGTATGGATTGTCCTTGAATGCCTTTGTTGTAGAGGGGTGCATATTGATATCTTTCCATTAAGGGCCCTAATGGTTAGATGAGTGTAAGAGTGGGAGTTTAGCAAGAGATTGCACCCTCCTTAGTCTTTCCCTTGCAATCCCCTTCGTACGACCCGAGAAGGCGAGCTTAGGGGAGGAGAAGGTAGACCACCCGCCAAGTGTTTGATTAGAATGCCTCACCCGACGTAGGGAATGAGAGTTTAGGTTTAACGCAACCTTATGTTGGTGCCTTGGTTCTCCCTTAGGTTAGATATAAGCTTTGCATCATCTCTTGTCCCAAGTTGAAGACCAATGAATGCATGATCACAAATCCATCCCATCCAAATCCCTGTTTTACTTGTTTGTTTTCCTTTATTTCCTTGTTTTCCCCATGTTTGTACACACTTGTTCCCACACCATCCTATCTTGCACCTAATCTATCCTATTGATACATTGTGGCACTTGATTATTGTCTTCCACTTTGCTTGTTCCGATTTGCCATCCTTGAGTTCCACACTCGGGAGTTCCACACTTCCGTTTAGACTTCATTCCATCCACTCACCACACAAAATACACGTTATCAGTTACTCTCCTGATTTGGGTAGGTGTTTGGCTTCAGTTGATGTCACTTTTTTTTAGGACACTGTGTTCTCTGATAGTATTTTCGGGGGTAGGTCTCTGGTGATAAAAGACGATTTTCTTACCTATACTATCACTATTCTTGTTCCTACAATAGAATCTGTTGCAAGAGTAATACCTCCCGTTACGTAAGTGTATTATAGGCAGCCCCGGGATGTAGTCACTCTAACGGTTACACAAGTGAGTACTCCTCCCCTACCACAACCTCCATCAAAAGATCTTGATCTTCCGATTGCCTCGCGGAAAGGTAAACGTAGTTGTTATCATCCAATTTCTTCAATTGTTTATTACAGGCATTTTTCAGAGTCTTCTCGTGCCTTTATATCCCAAATGGATTCTGTTTCTATTCCTAAAACGTTGTGTCAGGCTATGTCTCATGATGGGTGGAGATTTGCTATGGAGGAAGAAATGGAAGTCCTTGAAGAGAATCATACTTGGGATCTTATTCATCTCCCGGCTGGGAAGTTTGCAATTGGGTGTAAGTAGGTTTACGTTGTCAAGACGAACCCCGATGGATTAGTTGCTCGCCTTAAAGCACGCTTGGTGGGTAAAGGGTATGCACTGACTTATGTAGTTGATTATACAGAGACATTTTCTCCGGTTGCCAAGTTAACTTCTATAAGGATTTTTATTTCTCTAACTCCTATTAACGGTTGGCCGTTATACCAGTTAGACGTAAAAAATGCCCTTTTACATGGTGATTTGGCAGAAGAAGTGTAAATGGAGCAACCAGCTGTGTTTGTTACTCAGGGGGAGAACGGGAAGGTTTGTAAGCTGAAGAAGTCAATGTATGGGCTAAAACAGTCTCCTAGAGCGTGGTTTGGGAGATTCAGTGGTATAGTTACTGAGTTTGGCATGCAACAAAGTGCCTATGATCACATTATTTTTTATAAGCATTCTAACCATGGTAGTATTTTGTTAATTGTCTATGTTGATGATATAGTGATAGTAGGCGATGATACAAGGTGGATCGAGGGGCAAAATCTTTTCTTAAAGAGAAGCTCCATACGAAGGATCTGGGAGTATTGAAGTACTTCCTTGGGATTGAGGTTATACGTTCTAAAAGAGGCATATTTCTTTTAAAACGGAAATATGTGCTGGATTTACTTGAAGAATCTAGACTCTTGGGGTCGAAGCCTTGTGAAACACCTATGGACCACAGTGTTAAGCTTGTAGCTGGTGAGGGGAGCCTCTTGAAGATCCAGAGCGGTATAAGCGACTACTAGGAAGGTTAAATTATCTTACTATCACTCGTCCGAATATTGCCATTTCAGTAAGTGTAGTAAGTCAGTTCATGGCATCCCCTACAAAATCTCATTGGGAAACTGCAGTTCGAGTTGTAAAGTATCTAAAGGGTGCTCATAGGAAAGGAATTTAATGCTAACCATAATGGGCATGTGAGTGTTGAGGCCTTCTCTAACGCTAATTGGGTTGGGTCATCGAGTGACAGGAGGCCAGCAACTGGATATTGTGTGTTCCTTGGTGGCAATCTACTGTCGTGGAAGAGTAAGAAGCAGGGTATTGTGTCCCACTCAGCTTGTGAGGTAACGTGGTTGTGTAATGTTGTGGGAGAGATCAGTGTAGATGTGAATAAACTAGTTCCTTTGTGGTGTGACGATAAAGCTGCTATACACATTTTAAATAATCCTATGTTTCATGAGCGCACTAAACATATTGAAATAAATTTTCACTTTATGCGAGACAAGATTGAACAATGGGCTACTTTATACTGTTCATATTCGAACTAGTGATCAGCTCACAGATTTGCTTACAAACGTATAGACTAACCATAACCCTCGAAAAGTAAAAGTCAATGGTGTTAGCATTTGTATTGTAAACTTTTACAATTTCTTTCCCTTCATCCTTCCCCAATTGTGCATTAGCATGAAATTAAATAAATAAAATCGATTAAAATAAATCGGGAGAAATATACAACAAAAACTCTAATTGTGCATTAGCATGAAATTATGAACACTTAGAATTTAGATGTGTTAGCTTTGGCCTTTGGGTAGGCCTCCTGAGATCGTCTCACAGATAGCAATTTATATCGTGCACCAGGGTGCACATTGCATTGGCCCCCTGGTGCAAAACGAAGTCATTTTGCACTTTTTTTTTTTTTAAAAAAAATTCCGTTTTTTCGTGTTTGCTGTTAACTTGTTAAAAAAAAATTCATGTTTTGAAAATGTACATAATTGTATACTAAAATGTGAATAAATGTATATGAGAATGTACATAATTGTATAACAGAATACACATAAACTTTTAACTGTTAAAAAATATCGCGTGTTCGAATGTACATAATTGAATAAAAAATGTACATAATTGTATAAAATAATGTACATAATTGTATACCAGAATGTACATAATTGTATAACATAATGTACATAATTATATAACATATACACATACACTCTGCCGCGTCGACTCCTCACACAACTTAACAAAATGACGTCGTTTTGGGAGGCGCGGGGCGCACAGTACTATGTGCACCGTGGTGCAGGGTATAACGATTGCTCACAGATCTTCATTCGTGAGACGTGTCAGGCTAAAATGAAAATGTAATACTTATGCTAAAAATTTAATATTAATCATGCTATGGGAGCCCGACGCACCACCTGCGCAGACATCTTTGGAATGACCTCAGGCAATCGGCACGGGGCTGCTATGGGCCTTGGATGATTGCTGGCGATTTCAATGTCGTCCGGACAAGAGATGAAACTAAGAATTACTCATCTTTCTCGGCCCACAGAAGTTCAGATTTCTCAGGCTGGATTCAAGACGAAGGTCTAATTGATATGGGCTTCTCAGGACCTAGCCTTACTTGGGTTAAAAATGGTAACAATGATAACATCAAAGGTGCCCGGTTAGATCGGGCGATGTGTAACTTGGATTGGCGTATCATGTTTCCAGAGGTGACCGTTACACACCTTGCACGACTTGCATCTGATCATGCACCCATCCTTGTACAGATCAAAGGCAAAAGGCTTAGCAGACCAATAGCGTCGTTTGTTTTTCAGGCGGCATGGTTTACCCGGGAAGACATCCGCGATGTTGTGGACAATACATGGGATTCTAATCAAAACATAGTGGATAACTCAAAAGCGCTAGCTGCAGCGTTATCTGAATGGAACAAGAACTCTTTCGGCAACATCTTTAAAAGAAAGCGAATTCTCAATTCCCGAATTGGGGGCATTCAGAGGGTCCTTGCAGAAAACTTTCATAAGGGCCTTACAAAGTTAGAGCTGAAGCTTAGGGACGAGTTAGAATCAACCCTGCAGCAAGAAGAGCTCCTTTGGTATCAGAAATCGCGCAAAGATTGGATCCACTCGGGGGATAGAAATACGGCCTACTACCATGCTGCAGCAACAGTATGCAAGTCTCGGGCCTCCGTTCAAACGCTCATGGACGACCAAGAAGAGTGGCTAACAGACGGGAAGGATTTGTAGAACCATGTGCGCCAGTTTTATTTAACTCTCTTCGATGCAGATGTGACGGACCCACCGGCAGAACCCATGTTTGCTAATTTCCCAAGTTTGATTGATCTCGATTGGAATATTTTTAACAGGCCCGTTTCTAAAGACGAGGTGCACACAGCCCTGAAGGACATGAAACCCTACAAGGCACCGGGACCGGATGATTTTCAAGCGGGATTCTATCAGCGTACGTGGGACAAGACAGGTGATGGCATTTTTAAGCTGGTTAGCCAAGCCTTCTCAATGGGATCCCTACCTGACGGTATTAATGATACCCTTATTGCCCTTATCCCCAAGGTGGGGGCACCAGAACGCATTAAGCAATTCCGTCCGATAAGTCTTTGTAATGTAAGCTACAAGATTGTGACCAAGACTATCACAAACAGGCTCAAGCGTATCCTGCCAAAGATTGTGGGGCCTTTTCAGAGTTCATTCGTCCCGGGGCGACAAATAACGGACAACATCCTCATTTTCCAAGAGGTGATGCACACCATGCGGGAAAAAAGAGGGGGTAAAGGTTACATGGCAATCAAATTAGATTTGGAGAAAGCATATGATCGGCTTTCCTGGCCCTTTATCCAGGACACCCTTGAACAAGCGGGTTTCACTGGTAGAATCAAAGAACTCATGATGACATGCATTCAGACCCCAAAGTTGTCGATCATCTGGAATGGGGAAAGGCTGCCGCCCTTCCATATGAAGCGGGGAATTCGGCAAGGCGACTCCATGTCTCCTGCGATCTTTGTTCTATGCATGGAAAGGCTGAGCCAGCTGATTATCTCGGAAATGGATCGCAAGGCGTGGAAAGGTATTAAACTAGCCAGTGATGGACCAACTCTAACTCATCTTTGTTTTGCAAATGGCATGATCTTGCTCACGGAGGCAATGTCGGGTCAAGTAGACGTGGTAAAAGCATGCCTGGACCGATTTTGCACGGCCTCGGGACAGAAGATTAGTTTGGACAAGTCTCAGGTGTTTTTTTCAAAAAACACGGACACAGCTTTGAAGGAGGAAATCTCACACAATCTTGGCATAGCCCCCACAACGGACCTGGGCAAATATTTGGGCGTCCCAGCCATCCATGGGGGGGTAACCTGCGCAACACATGCGGACCTGCTCAACAGGATTTCTAACAGGCTCGAGGGTTGGAAAGCAAAGACCTTGTCTCTCGCGGGACGGGTTGTGCTCACAAAGTCAGTTTTAAATGCCATCCCGGCATATACTATGCAGACAACACTACTACCGAAAAGCCTCTGTCTCGAGATTGAAAAACGGACAAGGAAATTCATATGGGGTAGCAATGGAACAGAAAACAAGATGAGCCTCGCGAATTGGGAACTTGGTTACGACAGCAAAAGACGAAGGCGGGCTGGGGCTTAAACGACTAGGGGAGATGAATACGGCCTACATGGCCAAGCTAGGGTGGCGTTTGCTTTCGGAAGCTGACACTGTTTGGACTCGGACAATTAACTCAAAGTATAGGAAATCAGGAGACTTACATGGGGTCCAACAAAGCCGACGAAGGATCTCTAATGCTTGGAGGGGAATATCACAAGCCTGGCCAATAATGGAGAAAGGCTTGACATGCATCGTCCGAAGCGGAAATACCACAAAGTTCTGGATGGATAAGTGGCTTAGTCTGGAACCGCTTTACAGCCAACTCCGAGTACCGCTCCCCCTGCCCGAGTTCTATGCGACGGTAAGGGAATATTGGGATGAGGCTCGAGGCTGGAAGTGGGAAGTGTTGGCAAATGCTCTTCCGGTTGACGCACAGGAGAAGCTAGCTGGATATGTTCTAACTACGGATAGTGTGGAAGATAAAATAGGCTGGGAACTTGACCTGAGCGGGAAGTTCTCGATCCGATCTATGTATAGCACACTCGTGAAAGGTCCTAATAATAGTGAAGATGAGGACTGGCAGACAATATGGCGAATACGCGTGCCGGCTAGGCTCTGCATGTTCCTCTGGCCAGTCCGACACGGAAAAATTCTCACAAATACAGAGCGAACCAAGCGACACCTAACTAATGACCCTTTCTGTTTTGTTTGCGCAGGTCAGGTGGAGAACTTAGACCACCTCTTTAGAGATTGCCCAACAGCGAAGGCGGTTTGGAATCCCAGAAGAACTCTCAGTCACCTGTCAACTTTGACTTTGAGGCAATGGCTCTTAGTCAACATCAAGGGAGAAGCAAGGCTAGGTTTCAATGACAACTGGCCTTCGATGTTTTGCGCTCGCCTTTGGTGGATTTGGCGATGGAGAAACGAAGGAGTGTTTAATCAAAAACACTTGTCGTTGGCTAGCAAGTTAGAGTGGCTCACGATGTACGACGTGGAGGTGAAGGCCGCGTTCAAGAACGCTTAAATCCTGAGATCGGGAGAAACCTGCAAACAATCGCACATATTGGCGGGATGAAGCCACTAAGCGGATGGCTGAAGCTTAACGTGGATGGCAGCTGTAACAAGAATGGCATGGCAGGCTGTGGAGGTTTGATCAGAGATGAGTATGGAGACTGGATACGGGGTTTCACGGCAAGCATTGGCCGGTGCCAACCGCTAGAGGCAGAGGCATGGGGGATTTACCATGGTTTTCACGTGGCGAAAGTTTTTGGGGTTTCCAACCTCGTGGTTGAATGCGACTCCAAAAGCCTGATTGATAAGCTAGGCAGGGCTAACGGTGGAGACGAAGCAGAATGCAATGTTATCTGGAGATGTTTAAACTTGATCACCTTCTTCCAGAAGGTTGAGTTTGTGCATGTGTTAAGAGAAAGTAACCAAGTGGCAGATCATTTGGCAAAGGCGGCGCTTGACCATCAGATTGGCTTCCGAGTCATCGCCGAAGCACCTCCGAGTGTTGATTCTTTAGTTAGACAAGATAAACTGGGAGCAACGTTTCCCAGGCGCATGTAACCTTTCGGGATCAACCCTCCTACCCGATGTAAAAATAAATAAAATAAAATAAAAAATGTAATACTTTTAAATCAAAATATAATATTTAGGTTTAAATAGTTACTTATTAGAAAAAAAAATGTAATACTAATAATGGATAAATTGATTGATTGTTATTTACGAGAAAAAGTGAAATATTTATGAGAAAACATGTAATACTTTTAAATTAAAGTGTAATATTAAAGGTTAAAAAATTACTTATGAGAAAAATTGTAATATTTATGAGAAAATATATAATACTTGTGAAAAATCTGACCTATCTCACAAATAAGGATCCCTTAGACGGTCTCATAAGAGATTTTTTCTGTTAAGATTTTTCTCAGTTATTTATTAAAACCTCTACATGTTTACAGTTTTATATATATATATATATATATATATATATATATATGATGCATGTGGGGTTATGACAATTAACAAAATTATCATATTTATTTATTTGTGTGGAGTAAAATGAAGAAGAAATATAAATCCATAAGAGCAGCGGGGACCCATGCATACAATTATATTTGGACAAGACATATGTGGATGTATGAAATGTAGAAATCTCAGTGGCGACTCATGCGTAGAATTATATTCGGACAGGACGTATGTTGAAGATATGTTCAGATGAGCTGTTACATTTGACTTGAATTAATTGGAGAGAAACTTCCACGGAAACACCCTAATAACAATTTATCGGCTATATCAATTACTAAGAGTTAATGCTTTATGAATCTAGTATAATAGTTTTGTCACGTTTAGTCTTAAACTTTTAAATTGATCACATGTGATTCTTCAATTTTCAAATTGTTACCGTTCATTGTCTGAGTTAACCACCCATATCCTTTCAACTTTCAAAATTTAATCAGTTGTGGTCTTCTTGGTAGGACCATGGGTGGCTAAAATTTGATAGTTGAAGGATCATGGGTGGTTAACTTGAGCCACAGATAGTAACAATTTGAAAGTCAAAGGAAAATGGGTGACCAATTCGAACGTTTAAGACTAAACGTGATACCACTATTCTCGAAGGACCTTCGATAGTATTAACTCCAATTATTAATTCCATATATGCTTCATGCCTGTTTCATAAATTAATCTCAATGGGTTAAAACATAATCTTAATATAAATTTAATAGACTTAACTTTATTGACATATATAACTGAAAATCTCACGCTTTTAGTCAATAGAAATTGGACGGCACATGGTGAATTCATCAGAATCATATATAAGCCCTCTTCCAACCAACATATTGGCCCTGTTTGATAAAATAGTTAGTCTATAGATCAATTTTGATTTATTTGACCACTATTAGTTGTTTGACTTAGTTTAAAATTAATATAAGTGTTTGGTTAATTAGCTTTTTGTACTCTAAAATGCAAAAATTTTAAAAGCTACGCAAAGCAACTTTTTTAATTAGCTTTTTAAGAAATGAAATTATACCAAACAGCTATCAACTAACAGCTAATTTACCAAACACATTTCTACAATCAGCTAATGTTATCAACAAGTTATATCTTCTAATTAACCCAATCAGCTAACAGCTATCAGCTAATAGCCATTTACCAAACAAGGCCATTATTGGAAAATAGAAGGTCAAGATGAACAAATTTTGTGGTTCTCCAATTCTTATACAATGGACCAGGATTGACAATGTATTGTGGACATGATGCATGTGTATGTGTCTTCTACTGTAAATTTTTATATTTTGTGTTATTAAATTTTGTAGCTTAAGGGTATGAATTCTGTATCTTAAAGAAATTAGTAGTTGTATCTTAGCATGTGTATGTGTCTTATACTATAAATTTTTATATTTTGTGTTATTAAATTTTGTAGCTTAAGGGTATGAATTCTGTATCTTAAAGAAATTAGTAGTTGTATTTTATGTTATGAATTTGTGTCTTAAATCATATTTGAAAAATAAGTAAATATATAACATGTGTATGTGTTTTGTGTTATGAAATTATATACTTTATGAGTATTAATTATGTACCTCATCGTTTCGATTAAGGATCCACAATGCTTTGTGGACCCTGGTCCATGATAT